AAAAAAAACTTTCCCCTCCCCCCCCCTTTTTGTGTTAATAAAAACAATTAATTAATCGTCGTTTGTTTATTTGTTATGAAATGATGATTATCGCGTTCATTCAACTCACGTGAACTTACCCTTTTTTCCCACGGTGTGAAATAATAATAATGATAATAATAACGGAATGTTTTTCTTTTTTAAATTTTCAATATATCAGCCCGTGAAATTTTTCTTTTTTTGTCTCCTTTAAATTTCTTCCCTTTTTTTTTTTTTTTACTTTATTACCCCGTCATTCATTTTCTTGTAAATATCCTTTTTCTGTCTCTCTTTCTCTTCCTCTCTCTCCCTCTCCCTCTCCCTGTGAAAAAAAAAACAAAAACAAAATATTAGAAGAAAAAATTTTTGACCTTCAAATAATATTGAAAATAATAATAATAATAATAATAATAAATCAATTTTACAAAAGCTTAATAATATAAAAATCGATAATTTCTCGGTAATTTATATAAAAAAATATAAAAAAATTAATCAAACGACGTGTCATTAGAAATGCTAGAAGTGGGGGTGGGAAAAAAAAGCAAATTTATTCTTCATTAAATAATATTTGTTTTAAAAAAATAAGAAAATTTTTCCGAATAAAATTTAAATTTTACTGTTTGTAAAAAAAAAAAAAAAAAAAAAACGTGGAAGAAGAAGAGAGAGAAAAAAAAAGGGGAAAATTACACGTTATTTAATATGCAACGACGATATCGAATTTGATATTGATATAATAGTAATAATAATTTCCTAAAATAAAAATTATTGTTTGTTTATTTATTTCATTTTAACGTCGATTTAAATAAATTTAAAAAAATCGGATCTGCAGTTGCCACAACGACAACAGCAACAACAACAACAACAACGACAACAACAACAGCCACAACAGGCACAACGAAAACCGATTTAAAAAAAAAAAAATATTCATTATCATATATAAAATGAAATAAATAAATTAATCATAATTTCCTCATCGTTTTATTATTATTATTATTAGTATTATTATTATTATGAATTTTCATTACCGGGGGGAAAGGGGGGAAAAATAAAATATCCTTTTTCCCTTTCTTTGTTTAGTTTATTGATTTTGTAGGTCACCATCACGAGTAGTCACGAGACTGTCTAATCGATTTACCAACAACAACAACAAATTGAACGACGCACGCACGTACACGCACGCACGCACACGCACGCACACACATACGAATCCGCGCGTACTTGTATACGCACGCAATTTTACAAATTTTTTCATTTTTTTTTTTCTGGATTTCCTCGAATTCCCTTTTGCTGAAAAGGAAGGAAGGAGTGAAAAAATCGTGCGTGCGCGTGTGCGTGCGTGCGTACATACGTACGTGTGTGTGTGCGTGCATGCTCGTAAAATTACCTGAAACGAAAATAATAATTTTATTAAAATTAATTTTAAAAAAAAAAAAGAAAAAAAAAACGCAAATATAAAAAAAAAAAAAATTAAAAATACGTTGATCGAGCAATGGCGCGATGTCTCGAAATGGTTTTTATGGGTCGTTTTCTCTCTCTCACTCTCTCTTTCTCTCTCCTTCTCTCTCTCTCTCTCTCTCTCTCTCTCTCTTTCTCGATCGAGGAAGAGGTCTTTGTTGGAGATTCGACCTATTTTTTTTTTTTTTTTTGTCAGGGAGCGTTCACAAGTTTTCTGCACTGCACCGAGGTCGTCGTAACATATAAATATTTGACCTGAAATTTTATTTATTTATTTATTAATAAAATTTTATTAATAATTAATAATATTAAAAAAAAAAAAAAAAATACGCACGAAAGAAAACTCCATTTTAATTAATTTAATAGAAACAAAATAATAATAATAATAATAATAATAATAATAATAGTAATAATAATAATAATAATAATAATAATAATAATAATAATAATAATAATAATAATAATAATAATAATAATAATAATAATAATAATAATAATAATAATATTTAATAAATTGAATTTGGAAAATTTTATTTTTTTAAAATATATGTTTGTACGTACGTGTGTAATTTTTTTTTTTTTAAGGTATCGATAAAAGAAAACTGTCACGTTTTTCCCCTTTTTTCTTCTGCTTTCCCTCTTCTTATTTTCGTTCGTTTACGTGCACGAAATATAAAAAAAAAAAATTTCTTTTCTTTATCCTTTATTACAACTCCTTCGAATCGATTGAAAACAAAAAAATCAATTTTCCCATCGTTATTATTATTATTATTGTAAATTGAATGATTGGATTTCCCGGAAAATTTCCTTTTTTTTATAATAAATAATAACCTTGCATTTTATTATTCATCAATAATTTTCTTCTGCTCTGTAAAAAAAAAAAAAAAATTATTATTAATTAATTTATTAAAATAAATTTTTTTTTAATCAATAATAAACAAAGTTTCTTAACGTGACGTCACACAAGTTCTTTTTAAAATTTATATTATTATTATTATTTACATTAAATAAATTAATTTTTTTTTTTATAAATGATAATAATAATAAACGATTATCATAAATTACCATAGATTTATCATTTTTAATAAATTAAATTAAATATTTTTTTTCTTTTTTTTTTTTTAAATAAAAAAAATTATTTATACAATTATTATTATTATTATTTTTTTTTTTTTTAGTCTACGGCCCTTTTGCATTTTTCCCCTTTCATTCATTACAATTTACATAAATGGGAACATAATTTATTAATAAATAAAATAATATATATAATATATTAAATAAATATAAATTAATAATATAAATATACCTAATATTTAACCATTGGCAGCCATTTTTATTTTTTATTTTAATGATTTTTCTTTCTAATTAATGATTTCTTTTTACAATTATTTAATCATTATTATTATTATTATTTGCAGTGGCCGTTGAAGTCACGACAGTTTTTGGAGCAGCCGTCATTATTATATTCGCCTTTTTGGTTTTTTTCCTTTACATCAATAAAAAATGGTGCCTCATAGATTTGCGAAGTTTTCCTTTGGTTTGCTGTGATGAAACAATATTAAAAGCTAATAAAATTAAAAATTACGGTGAGTTTTTTTTTTTTATTATTATTTCTTCTTCACCCTTTCCGCCATTTTATCTATACGTGAGAATCATGATAATGATGATGATGATGATGATGACGACGTCGTGAATTGTTTGTAACTCAACGAGAGAGAAAAATTACAATTGTACGCCATGTTTTTTTTTTTTTTTGATTACGACGCTATCGATTTCGAATACTTTTTTGTAAATCCCTTTAACAAAAATAATAATAATAATAAATTTATAAAATCATATTAATTAAATATATATATATATATGTAAAAAAAATTATTATTCCAAGTGACAAACATTGTATTTATTATAACCTTTTTTTTTTTTAATTAAAAACATTTCTCCAGTTGATAAAGACGTGAAAAATCAATCAATTAACGTAAACAAAAAAAAAACGAATATCGATTATTATCATTATCATTATTATTATTATTACTATCAACGAAATAGTTTTTTTTTTTTTTGGTTTTCTTCGTTTCTTTTTTCAATTTAAAAAGCGTAAGTTGGATAATTATTGTGATTATACTGTCGGTGAAAAGGCGATGTGGGTATGGGTCGTATGACGAGACCCAATATGGGACCCCAATAAATTTGTTTATTTTCCGCTCTTCCCATCATTGGAACCTTTTGAAATTCCACATCGGAAACGTTTTGTTTTAAATTTTCCATAAAAATATCCATTTCGGATTTCGTCGTGCACGACACGCTTATCCTTTCGATATCTCTAAATTTTCTCGCCAAACATTGATAAAAACTTTTACTGTGAAAATACGTGTCCGTCATCATGACGGTTTTCAATTTGGGACAATATTCCAAAACGGATGTCACAGTTTGAGAGAGTATGTTCATTTGTAGAGTCGAACGATAGCAACGATCCAATTTGAGTACTTCTAAATTTTGATGAGAATCCACGAGTTCTTGTAATAATTCTTCCGTGTCGTTCCTGAAAAAAAAAAAAAAAAAAACAAACAAAAACAGGTTTCTTCGTCAGGTTTCTTTTGAAATTTGGAAAAACAAATTGACACAAACCTCAATATCAATTCCAGTGTTTTTAATTTTGGAATCGTTCGTAACAATGTCCTCAATTTATTAGTGCTTATCACCATGTTTCTTATCGTGAGATTTTCAACCGTTTTCCATAGCGTCCAGTCCATTGCTAATATTTCCCATTTTTTACATACGTTTGGAATAGTGTGTAAAAGTAATCCCAGAGGAAGATAACTAAATATTTTAAGGATGAGTTCTTGTGGTAACGTATTTATCCAACATTTAATATCGTTCGATATGTTCACATTTTCTAACAAAGCGTTCAATTCTTTCTTCGACGACGACGACGACGACGACGATGATAAATTAGAATAAAAAATTTTTTTGTCTTTTTGTTTATTTTTGTTTTTGTTATTATTATTATTGTTGTTGTTGTTGTTTTCGTTACTACTAATACTACTACTACTACTACTACTACTATCACTACTACTACTATTATTATTATTATTAATATTATTAGTGTTATTGTTTTGATTCGTTGACTTTATATTTGTTAAACTTATTTTTTTTTCTAATTTATATTTTCCATCGGATTTTCTTGAAAATGTATAATAATCGTGACGTAGAGATTTTATGGAACAACGATCCGTTGTTAAATTTTTTTTACATCTTTTCGATTCGATTAAATTTTCAATGGATGCTGAAGACGTTGGTCTCCTTACACGTTTGCACTTGGTTTTAACAATAACCGGTGGATTATGATGATGATGATGATGATGATCCTTTATTATTACGTTTTGACTTTGTAAAAATTTTGTTCCGAAATGTGTTGCGGGCATCCCTTAAAATAAAAATTGAAATTTTTATTAAAATTTTAGGCATAAAAAAAAAATTTAAATTTTTTTTTGCCCAAAAATTTTTAAATTTTTAACCGAAGGGGTTTCATTTTGAATTTTGTTTCATTTCGTTCCGCCATTATTATTGTTTATAATTTTCATTTACGGCCATTTCCGTAAACAAATCTCTTATATAAACTCTCAAAGGAATTTGAAATTTTATTTGGAACAAAAAAAAAAAAAAAACCCCTCGATATAAATAATAATAATAATAATAATAATAATAATAATAATCGGTGAGAATGACTTCAAATTTCTAACATTATAAAAAAAATTTCAATCAATCACTAATAATTATATAGAATTATTATTATCATCATCACAGTTTAATTTACCTTTTTTTTTTTTTTTTTCTTATAGATGGTACCTTTTTCTCGCAGCATAATGTCAAAGGTCAAAACCTTATTTCATTAGCCGAAAAGGGAAAAGTAGGTACGGGTAGTTCTCCATCGTCGAGTTGTAGTACGACAAGCGGGGAAGAAGAAGTACCGAAAGACAAAGCTCTTCGTCATCGAGATAGTAGAAGCAGCGGAGGAAGCAATAAATGTCGGAAAATAGCACAAGAAGTTCCTGTAGAAGAAGAAATAACTCCTTATCAAAGTATTTCTTTGTCAGAATCAAACGTTTTGAATGTAGATGAAAACGTTAACGGAAATAATAATATTGATGTAAGTAAGATACCTGAAATGAAAAAAATTATTTTAATTTATATATATATCAAATTCAATTTTCTTTTTTTAAATAGGAAATATTCGATGTTACTGATCTTCAAAGTGAATTTGAAGATCATGAAAACATACCGATATCAACGTGTGGATGTTTAGAAGTTGCCTTTGCATACGATGCTCCCATGAGAAAAATGACAATTCATGTATTGCAAGCGAGAGATATTCCGAGCAAAGATCGCGGAGGAGCAACGCACACTCAGGTTCATAACAATATATCACAAAATCAAACCTGATCGATCTATAAATAAAAACATAAAAAAAAAAAAAATGTTTTTCAGGTTCGATTATTGATGCTGCCAAGTAAAAAACAAAAGCACAAATCTAAAATTAGAAGTGGAGAAAATCCACAATTCATGGAAAGTTTTTTATTGCATCGAATTAATCCAGGTACGTGATCCGACAGAATAATACAATGTTGTCGATACCTTAATCCTTTAAATTCTTTCTCTTTCTTCAGAGGATGTTAATAGTATGGGAGTGAGATTTAGACTTTACGGTTGTGAAAGAATGCGACGAGAAAGAATGATTGGTGAATGCGTCGTGAGTTTTGCCACGATGAATTTAGAATTAGAAACAAATATGTGGTTGGTACTCGAACCTAGAGCAAACATAACGGTAAGTTTAAGGTTTAAATTTCCTTTTTTTTTTTGTGTTTAAAAAATCATTTTTAAAAAACAATAATAATAATAATTTTTTTTTTTTTTGGGGGGGGGATTACCCTGAAAAATCACAGTTAAATTCTTCGTCGCCTGATTTAAAAAGTTTAACACGTAGCGACAGTACAAGTTCCTCACATTCTATGCAACACGGTGGAGTATCTGAATTATTAATTGGCCTTGCATATAATGGAACAACAGGAAGACTTTCCGTCGAAATAGTTAAAGGAAGTCATTTTAGTCTTTGCGGTGCTTATAGAAATCCAACAATGCCTAAAATATCTGATACTTATATCAGGTTAAGTTTAATCAGCAGCACGGGAAGAGAAATAACACGGTGTAAAACATCGATAAGAAGAGGGCAACCCAATCCACTATTTAAAGAACTTTTTATGTTTCAGGTAATCAGTCGGTCCAACCTAAAAAAAAAAAAAAAAAAAAAATTTTATTAAAATAAATAAATAAATAAATCGAAATGTTTTTTTTTTTTTTACAGGTTGCTTTATTTCAATTACCCGATGTCACGCTCATGATATCCGTGTACATGAAAAGAAGCATGAAAAGAAAAGAAATGGTCGGTTGGTTTAGCATGGGTCTTAAAAGTTCTGGAGAAGAAGAATTGTCACACTGGAACGATATGAGAGATGCTAAAGGAGAACAAATTTGTCGTTGGCACGTTCTCATCGATTCATAAAAATTTTTTTTTTTACTTGTATAACTAACTTTGTCTCTCCTTTCACAGGGTTTTTTGTTTTTCTTTAATAAAAACGCCTAAAAGTAAAAAATTTGTTGTTATTAAAAATTTACAATTTTTTTTTTTTTTTAAATGCCGCCTTTGTCGGCTTTGTTTTTACAAAAAAAATTTACTTCGAATCTTGCATATATATATTTTTTTGCATAAAAAAAAAAAAAAAATTTATAATATTTCCTTATACATAATAATAATAATAATAATAATAATGTTAAATTTTTTTGTAAAAATCTTCTAACAAATAAATAAAATAAAATTTAAATATTTAAATAAATAAATAAATAATAATTTTTTATTGTTTGATAATTCTTTTAAATTTATCAAATAAAGATTTTTAAATTGTATATTTAATAATAATAATAATAATAAATTTTGTTATCATTATTATTATTATTGATTTTTGTCAAAACTCGTTTTGTGTAATTTATTAAAAAATTAAATTTTATTAATATTTTATAATTAATAACAAAAAAAAAAAAATTTTTTAAATAAATTGTTTGTAAATTTAAGTCCGAAACTAAAAAAAGAAATTTTTTCTAAATAATTTAAATTTTTACTTATTAATATAAATAAATAAATAAAAATAAATCATCAATCAAATCCCTCTCTCTCTCTCTCTCTCTCTCTTTTTTAATAAAATTTTTTATGAAAATAATAATAATAATAAAAGTAAAACTTAAAAAAAAAAAAAGAGGGAGACTTTATATTTATATACAAAAAAAAATCAATTTTTATCTATAAAATATTTTGCTTGTAAATCATTTTTGATTAATAATAATAATAATAATAATTAACGACTAATATTGTATAAAATTAATTGTAAAAAAAAAATTAAAACTCATTCGTAATTAATATCTATAAAAATAAATAAATAA